GGGGGTGCGCAGGGAAAGTGTTTGCATGCCTCAGTCCTGTTCTGAAGTGGGAGAGAGAACAAACTCTTAGTTATAAGAACAAAGCACAGAGAGTGATTAGGGATTAGCCCCTAAAAACTGGTTTTTAGATGAGAGAGGGAAGAAGTGGGATGGTCCCAGCACCATGGAGTTTCTGGGCAGAGGGTGTCCCCACTTCCCCTGGCTCGCGAGGTGACAAGTGACACCAGAGGACAGGGGAAGGGAGGGCTGGCAGGCTGCTTGGTGACCCTCATTGCACGTGCATGTTCTTTGCCAACATAAGATTTTTCTTTTTTTTTTTTTTTTTTTTTTGTTGTATTTTTGCAAAATGTTTTGCTGGTCCAGTTGGGTTTTGGTCATGTCTGTGTTCGTGTTCCCCTGCTCCGAGTCAGAAGCCACCGTTGTCCCTTCCTTAGGGACATGGTTTAGTGGTGGAATGGCAGGGTTAGGGTAACGGTTGGACTTGATGATCTTAAAGGTCTTTTCCAACCTAAACAATTTTGTGATTCCCACACCACAACCACCACCTGCTTCAGTGTCACAACCTCCCTTTGGGTTGGTGACAGCCCCTGGGAAGCAGGGCAGCTCTTCCAGTTGCTGTCAGGAATTTGTGGCCTTCCCTGAACCTTCCCCATCTGCTCTGGCAGTTGCAGGAATGATTTGGGAAACACCCTGGAGGGGATAAAAGAAGTTGATGAGTGCTGGAGTCCATGTCTGTGATGCCAGGAGAAGGCAGGGCAGGGTCAGTACCATGTGTATGGACCCCAGGGGACCCCTGTTTTCTGTGCTGGTGGAGGATCGAGCCACGTGTGTAAGAGCAAGCGAGAAACCTTCCTTCGTGCTGCCTCTGGGAGAGCCCACCCAGGGAGAGGAGTCCCAGCTGTGGCCCTAAGCGCAGGGCTGAGGATTGGCGCATAAGAACCAAGGGTGTATTTGTGTCTCCTTTAATAATCGAGTATGTTAATTGTTGCCATTTGATTTCATCCTTTTTTAATAGAATAGACGTGGATTTTTTACAAATATATTGCTTCTGCTACATTTTGACATGAACCATGAGCTGCCGGCAGTCCCCTCTGGTGTGGTCTCCTGTGGGGGGTAGATGTGTTTGGCACGTTCGTCTGCCTGCAGGGGCAGAGGGTGAACCAGTGTGAGCCCCAAAAATACAGAGCAGTCCTCTGAAGTTGCAGTGCTGCGCTCCCAGAGTCATCTCCCTCCAATCAGTTGACTTCCATTTTTGCTGCAAAGATGCTATTCATTTTTGACTGCCCCGAGTGGTCCTTTCCAGCCTTTAGAAAGTGTTTTTCGTCTGTTTGGAGATCTCATAAAGGAATTGAACCTCAGGAGAGCACTCGGTGGCATTTTCTAAGCTTGCCCCCAGCAACATGGTAGTACTGTGAATGGCACGTGTCACCCGTGTGCCCTCCACAGCAGCAGATGCCCTCCTGACCCACCGGCACTTCAGTTACTGACGGATCTTGCCCTTGCTGCTCAGCAGAGGTGACACACAAAGCTCAAGTTGAGCACTTCACACTTGGACTAGGTATAAATATTTTGGAGCCTTCCGTCCATCTATTGATACCATTCACTACCCCAGCACTTGAGACCTGTTTCTGCCTGGTCCAGTCTCCCGTTATGTCTGTTGTCTTCAGGTTCCCCAAATAACAAGTATCTGCCTGAAGATCAAGTTGCATTTTCTACGACTTTCATCCCACAACTGGATTTCCTGTGGTTTATTTCCCTGTGTTAAGGTTGAGATTTTTCTTTTCTTTTTTTTTTTCCTTTTCTATACCGTCCGCTGCTGCAGAATATTCGGCCAGCAGCAGTGATGCTGCTCGTGCTGGATTTAACAGGATGCACTATCCCACTTGCTGTGTGCTTGTTGCCAAGCTGTTTTCTGTGCACGACATCTGCATCCAGAAATTTGCTCTTAATTTTAGCACAAAACCACAAAAAAGAGATGCCCCTAAAGGCTTCACTTCACAGTGGACTCCCTGCTCTGATGATTGCACTGGGGATCTGGTCTCCTGGTCTGGGGATTGGGTCTGGGTCTGCAGCCTTTGGTAGAGGCTGGTATTAAAATATGATTTTTATTTGCTGTTGCCTTGAAGCTGCCTGTGTTTGTTTACCGCTGTGAGCTGACCTTTGGGGAGACATTTCTCGATTAATTGGGTGCCTAATCACTTCAGTCAACTGACAGGCGTGTATGTATTGGAGTTTTTCCTCTTGTTAGCTATTTTCCCCCTGGTTTATTTTTTCCTTGTTATATGGCAAATGATGCATTTTATTTTTTTTGTATTAGTTCCTCCATTGTTTTTCTCTTCAGTCATTAACTGTTGATTTCATAGTTGCCTGTTGTCTCTTGGCCCTTTCGCCAATCCATTCAAATCCTGAATGTCTTGTTCTTAAATACGTGGTTATACACTACGGGTAAAATAGAGGCCAGCTATTTTGATTCTTTTAATGTTCAGCCATCAGTAATCGTTCTCTTAATAATTCTTTAAAGTTACTCTACACAGACTTTTTTAAAAGAAGCTCTACCCTTAATTATTTTCTCAAGACACTGACTCCTTGCAGGTATTGAATCCTCACTTGTGTTTATCCCCCAGAGAATTTTGCAGGTTTACCTGGTGCTTTAGGTTCCCTCGATGACAGGCAATGGGCAGTGCGGGTGTTGGGATGCTTCTGCATTCTCCAAATTAGTTCTCTGTATGTACATACCTGAAAGACCCATCCCTGGCTGTGTTCAGATGTTAGGAGGAGGAAGAGGATGTTCCTGGTTTTTATTTGTTTGTCCCCTAGTTATTTGTTAGTAAGTAATCTGGAATGCTTCCATAGCAAACTTTTTTTCTCTGTGGAAAACATAGAAATATGGTCTGGTAAGTGATGGTTTGGGTTTTATACAGAGGGTAAAACTCACTCATGTGGCATGTAGGTGAAGGCTCTGGAGAACTAAAACATGGCTAGATTGGGGATTGGTACTGGGAAGTATCATCTTTGTCTGGGAGGGGTAATAGCACAAACATTTTAATAGCCTTGGACTCAGGGTCCTGGGATCTGTCCCTGCTTTGCCCCTGGCCAGTGGATGCTGTCAGAGATACCACAGCGGGAGATGGTCTGAGGTTTTGTGTGGAATGGTGTGGCCAGCAGGAGCAGGGCAGTGACCGTGCCCCTGTGCTGGGCACTGGTGAGGCTGCCCCTTGAATGCTGGGGTCAGGGTTGGGCCCCTCACTCCCAGAAGGACATGGAGGGGCTGGAGCATGTCCAGAGAAGGGCAAGGAAGCTGGGGAGGGGTCTGGAGCCCCAGGCTGGTGGGGAGCGTCTGGGGGAGCTGGGGGCGTTCAGCCTGGAGAAGAGGAGGCTGAGGGGAGCCTTCATTGCTCCCTACAACTGCCTGACAGGAGGGGGGAGCTGGGGGGGTGTTGGGCTCTGCTCCCAGGGAACAGGTGATGGGAAGACGGGAAACGGCCTCAAGTTGTGCTGGGGGAGGTTTAGGTTGGGCATTGGGAAAAATTCCTTCCCTGCAAGGGCTGTCAGGCACTGGAAGGGGCTGCCCAGGGCAGGGGTCGAGTCCCCATCGCTGGGGGTATTTAAAAGCCAGGTAGACGAGTTGCTTAGGGCCAGGGTTTAGTGGTGGGATGGCAGGGTTAGGGGAACGGTTGGGCTTGGTAATCTTAAAGGTCTTTTCCAACCTAAACAATTCCATGATTCTGTTAGCAATGGGAAGTTCAGTTCGATAGCAGATCTCCTTATTAGCATGTCCTTCTGGGTTGAAAAATGTAATAAACTGAACAGAACATGGCACTGAAGTTCAGGTAACCTTGTGCATTGGCATGTGATGGGTAACAGGTAAGGGAGAATCTCTTCTCTCAACCTGAGTCTAAGCCTGGGCTTTCTGGAGCAGGAGAGTTTGATCCAGCCTGGCCCCCTGATCCCCTGGCTGTGGAGTCCTGATTGCCGTGGATTTTGTGCTCTTTTACTCTGGTTGCACTGGTACTTATATCACGTTTTACAGTCTACCGTGTGCCAAGGAAGCAAAATGAGTTAATTCAAAAAACAATTTTGCTGGAAGATTGCTCTATAAATAAATTTCAGAGATAAGTGAAATAAAACATTAGTAGAAGATAAAGGGAAGGAGAGGGGAAAGATGGAATCGAGCAGATGTAAGCAGTGAGATGGGATTTGTTCTATGGCAAAGTGCTTATTGAGAGAAGTCCTTTTGTCACCAGTAACTTCTTTGGTGAGCAGCCCTTAGAGGGAAAATCGAATAACCCCAAGAAAAGTAGTTCTCGGGGTGCTGCCTGCCACCATGCACAGAAATAAGTCATGTCTGGGCATCTGGGAGAGGTGCCGGTTGTTGTTAGCAGCTACCATCTTCGTTCCTGACTGTTTGTACCACACTTTTTGTAAGGCTACGCCGTGAGCAGGGTGTTCTCGGTGTCCCCTGGTTGTGATTTTAACTGTCGGTTTGTGCTTCCAATAAAACGTTCTGTGTCACTGTTCATGGGAGAGCCTTTTCTCTGTGATACTGTACCCAAGAGCTCACGGGCAGGAGCAGGCAATGGTCTGTCTCTTTGTGTTCCTCCTGCCCCAAAGTCACAGAAGCCAGATGATCCAGCTGGAGGAAATAAAATATCTGTAGAGCAACTAATAGTGAGATTTTCTGCCTGGGGAAGCAAATCAAAGAGAGATAAACTTCCTGGTTATTTTCCCATTAAGTTAAGGCTCCTGTAAATCCAAAGTGCCTGGGCCCTATAGAGGGAGGATAAGTCTTTGTACAGCAAATGGTGGCTCAGCTCGCAGATGCTGCAAGTAGCTTTCTTGAAAGAGTAAGCGAGGTGGCTCCTGTTTGGGTCTAGTTTGTTTCAGCCCCTGGGATCTTGGAATAAATTAATTTTTTTTTTCCTGTTTGAAGCTGTGTGGAAGGCTGGAACGTCTTCCCGGTGTCAGGATGTGTTGCTAATGTCATTTTTCCTTTATTTCAGCAACAGCGCACTGTTTATAGGCTGACACTGGTGAAAGCTTGGAACGTGGATGAGCTCAAAGCCTATGCTGACCTGATATCCCTCGGTAAACCAGACTTCATCGAGGTCAAGGTGAGCTGCATGGAGCTATTTTGATTTTTTTCTATCAGTATTTTACCTTTTTTCTCCCTATTTTCTAGCCCACCCACCCCAGCCTTAAACTTACACGAGTAAATGCAATTCTTCCAAAGATTTCAGTGGCACATAAGTTCCTTATCTCTTGCTTTTAAAGTTAGGCAGCCAGGTTTCTAGTATTTTACGTCTGCATTTGGAGTAGCCTTCGGTGTTACGCAAGACAAGCTTTGTACCAGCCAGTATCAATTTCTGCCCAACGGAATCATAACCCTCTGGTCTGTATTGTGTTTCTCGGGAAAACAGACTGATAAATAGCCATTCCTTCTTTTATGTCAAGCAACACTTTAAGCAAAATATTCTGGGGCAAGCTGGTAGTTCGTGGTGTTACGCTGCCCATCCTGGCCTTGAACTCTGCTGGGGGAAGAGGTGATAACGTCTTCCTTACTGATGTGGTATTTGTAAGGCTGTGCAAGACGGGGAAACTCGAAGAGCTACGAACGGGAGCACATGAGCTACAGCAGGGCAGAAGCTTGGGATTAATCAATTTAGTGTATAGAGGATGTAAAAAAGGCACATTACAAAGTGTTCTGTAAAGAATCACTATCAGCATTTTCATCCAGTGACTCCCCAGCACATTTACCTCAGGTCTGTATTTCTGCAGTTCTGTTACTTCTGGCCTTTCTTTTCTCTTTTTGTTCTCTTTCCTTTTTTTAACCTTTATTTACTGCTGCTTTGAAGAAAAAACCTGGACTCTGTGGCACTTTCCTTATGAACCAAAACCCAAAGGTTTTGATGTTATCAGTATTGAGAGATATCTCTCTCTGAATGTACTGCTGAAGTTGGTAGCTTAACGCAAAATAAGATTTTTAGTATGGTTTTGGGGAAAAGCCTCAGTTTGACAATGTGTATCAGGCTGGTTTATATTTCTCAGGTATTTTCTCAGGTAAAACCTAGCAGGAGGAGCGCCCCTATGGGGCCCTTCCCACCTCGCATCTCCTGACGCTCTTATGGCGCCAGCGTGCAGCATGAGGCTGTCAGCGTATGTGCTACTTAGACTGCTCCGTCATGTGTAGTGACTTTAATTAGTAAAATGAGTCAGGTGTAAGTTAATCAGTGTTTCCGAGCGCAGATTCCCCCGAGTGCTCTCCAGGGCGAACATCTGTCTCCTCTAAGGCTGCTCTTCCCTTTGCCTGGGGAAGGATTCTGCCCTGCAGTCGTGGTTTCCCAGCAGCGTGGAGCTTAGCTCTCCTGCCGGCTCTTTCCTAGCAAAATCACACCTCAGAGTGCCAGGGAAATAGGTGAGAAAAGAGGTGGGCATGGAGGTGTTCCCAAGGTGGTCAGAGGTGTACCCCCAACACTCTTCCTGCTGGGACAGGCTCCTGCCCAGGCTGCTTCAATCGACAATGTCGTTATTGCACTCCAAGTGTTCAAAGTGGTTTTCTGGTCTCAACCAGTGAGGAATTTCTCTGAGGAAGGGATAAATATTGAACATTTTGCCCTGTTGGCAAAAAGTATGATAAGCTTGCAGTTTTGTTTTGGTGGGTCTTTTTTTAAAAAAAAAAGTGTTTTAATGTTATTTAATTAAATTTGCAAGTGGGATGCTTTGATCTAAGTGTCATTTTTTCAGAAATATTCCAGCAGGTAAGTGAAGTTCTGCAAGTGCTGGAGGACAGAAGTGTCAGATCATGGTGTCTTCAAGATATAAGGGACAGAACATTTCATGCCTCGGTTTCGTCTTGCATGAAAGCTTCAGCATTGTGCCACAAAAGTGGTCTGCAGTTGGCACTTGGCAAGTCTCTTGTCTTTCCAACCCCAAGAGCAGTAGTCAGGGACCCAGGGAAACTCAGGTTTAAGCCTTTTCAAAGGCTGCAGCATCTCCTCCTTGTCTCTGCTGGTTGCTGTACGTAGGCCGGGGAGCGATGGGGAAAGTCTTCCCTTCCCTGGCTACAGCTCTCACTACAAACCACGGTTCAGTGTTTCACAACGATCTGTATATGCAAACGTCTTCGTACTACGGTTTGTTCTTCTTTTCCAGCCTAGTGAGGGAGGACGATTTTCCAAAGCTCTCCAAACCATGCACCAAGTCTGAGAGCAGCTCAGCCCCGCAAGGCAGAAGTGGGCAGCTGAGTACAAGAAAACACACTAATTCCTTTTCAGCTTCAGCAGTAGAAATGAATTGTTGGGGCACTGCCCCATCTCGTTCACCATCAGGCTCTGAAATAGTCTGAATTTTCTTTCCCTTTAATTGAGCTTTTAAATAGACCCGTGCTGTCCTGTTATCTGAATTTCGAAGACATGAAAGCAGGGTTCATGTTCTTGCAGCATGTCGCTGTGAGCAGCATTGCTGGAGCACCCATTTGCAGCAGGAGCTGAACTGATGGCAGTCGCTGTCTGAAACAAATGGTGCAATGCTGTGCCGGCACGGCATTCGGTGTTTAAATGGCATTTCCATCCCTTTTAAAAGTCACAAAATTTTGCGAGGGCTACCCTGGAGCAGGGGGGTTTGCTTGACACTAGGTTGTGTTTAAATGGACCCTAAGTCAGATGAAAGGTCTTGCTCGCAGATTTTTGTATGAGATGGTTTTTATGTGAGAGCAAGGGTTTTTTTTAACAAAGTTGCCTTTCATCCTTGCCTCTTTGGAGCAAGTGTAATGTTCCGAAAGGTGGGCACTCACACTAAATACAGCATTAGCCCAGTCAGTGGCCTTTTCTGTCTTGCATAGTTTCATCTGCCAGTTCCTGCTAAAGAGCAGTGTTTATAAACTGTGGAAGATTCAGCTCGGTGGGGAGCGGGGAGGTGCGGTGGCTTTCTCCTCGTGCTGCTCTGTCTCCCTGACTTTGAAATGTGAGCGGATTACATGGCTTTTCACCTCAAGTGTGGAACCACTTTTTCCCTTCCCTTGGCCTGAAGCAGTAAGTTGCATGCTCTGGAGTGGCTGATGAACAAGTCGTGTTGCTGCAGGGCGATAAGCCCAGCCAAGTACCAACAGGAGAGGCTGACAGAGGGGATCTTAAGGACGGCTCCTGCACTTGGCTGTCCTTCTCCCAAGTGTCAGTTGGTTGCTGGTGGGGTGCTGTGCCCCCTGTGCTCCTGGAGACGTTTGTGTTGCTGCTCTGCCTGCACTTGGATCCTTACCCCATGGTCTGACCTAACTAAATTAGGAGGTTACCCCCGTTGCATTCAGCTGTGTGCTCTGCAGACAGCTTGTTTTCATCTCATATTTAATCCTGGCTTGCAAAGCGCTCATCCAGTGCCCTACCCATGAGATCAGCCTCCTCTTAGGGCACAATCGCTGGTGCAGACGGCATCTGAGCTGGGCTGTGGAGCAAATTGAAGTTGAGAATGCTTTGAGGCGCTTCCTTGCCTCTGCCTGTGCACCTATGGGGTGAAGGAAAGAGCTGGGGTCCCTGTCCCTGCGATGTTTGAGTGCTCTGGAATAAAAGGTGAGCAGATCTTTCTCAGCAAAGGAGAACAGCAGAAGAGGGGCTGCCCCATTTCTCCCCCAAAGCCTGGGTGCTGGCAATTCTGCAGGCAGAGTGTATGTAAGCAGAGCGATTGCATAGATACAATCCCACAGCATTCAAAGTGATGCTTGATACAATAGTACATAAAATTGAGAGTTGAATTCAGACCCAAAGGAAGAGACAGGTAGGGCTGAGGTGTGCTCACATCTAGCTCTCGTTATTGCTGCCGGCACTCCGTCATCTGCTCTGTGTATTGATCTGCACTGGTACGAACGCTCCTCCCAGGGTGGAACCAGCCTTCAGTCCACCCCCAGCAGCTGCAGTGTTCACAGAGCCTTTGTGACCTGGGAGTTGTCCCCGAAAGACTTGATCTTTTTGATTAATTGTAACTTCTCGTGTTCCTTTGAGAATGAAACATGTTGAAGAATCTATTTGGTATGTGGCTAGAGCTTAGCATTTTTTTTTTCTCCAGAACCCCAGCATGATAGGTTAAAAAGGCAAAGACCAGGTCCTGCTCAAAGCAAATAAACAAAAAAATATTACAAGATATGCTGCAAAGCATCTGCCAGAAAATGAGGCTCATCTCAGCGGGATTTCCTGGTTAAATACTTGAGATAAATGACGTTAATTTACAATGAATGTAGCTAATCCCCTGTTGCTCCAGAGAGGCTCACAGGGTGGAGTGGATAGAGATTTAGATTCTTGCAGAGCTTAATACTTGTTCTCATTTCCATGAGTATCTTACAGCAGTGCTACTCTGTGGGACCCTGTTCTCTTATTTAAGCCAATAGAAATTAGCCTTGATTACCCTTGTGTAAAACCCAAGCGAAGGAAGAATCAGACATGTGGTTATTAAATACACATCAATTTTATTTATTACCTTAAGTCTGTTTTAATGCCACAATGTCACAGTCGTACAAAGTTGATGGTTGTATTTAAGATCCAGAATGTGCAACTCATCGTTTTGCAGTGTTCCCTTCTTGTTTTAAAAGCCAGAGGCTTGTGTTGACGTGCAGTATTTTGACGTTTGCCTTCTGAAACCAAGGGGGCAAAAAGATTTTGAAGTGAAATGTAAGTGGGTCCTAAAGAACTCGTTGGGACGTCTGTGAGTGCAGTGCTGCAGGCTGGTGTTAGAGCAAGGCCAGATGGGTGCACAGAAACACACGGACCTTTGGTGGTTGCAGGCAGATCAGGGAGCAGCTGGGCACGCTTGCATGTGTAATTGTGGCTGTGTCTGCGAATCTGGGTGAAAATCTGCCTGGGTGGCCGAGCCTGGAGAGTTGTGGTGAAGGGAGTTAAATCCGGCTGGTGGCTGGGCACAAGCAGTGACCCCAGGGCTCAGTGCTGGGGCCAGTTCTGTTAACATCTTTATCCATGACCTGGACGAGGGGATCGAGGGCACCCTCAGCCAGTTTGCAGGTGACACTGAGCTGGGTGGGAGTGTGGATCTGCTGGGGGGGAAGAGGGCTCTGCAGAGGGACCTGGCGAGGCTGGATCCATGGGCCTAGGCCAATGGTGTGAGGTTCAACAAG